TTTTTTTTTTTTTTTACGTAGAGAAAATCTTCATAAGACACCCGAGTCTTTTAAAGGAAATCCAGGTAGTGTCGGAAAAGTCTCCGCACGTTGGCAGACCCTGGGCCCTCAGATTAAGAGTCTGATGCTCTACCGACTGAGCAGACTACTATCCTAAATCTAACCTAAATTTAACTTACCGTTGAAAGATATATCACGCTGTGATGCTATGACGTTCAGTCATCGATGATTGACAGCACCAGAAATCATTATTCTATCCTATTCTAGAAAAGGAGAAGAATAGGAAGAAAAAGAGGAGGAAGAAAACACGAAAAGTTCCCTTTTTACAATTTTCATTTCTGACGTGAAACATGTGCGAACGCTTTACCAGCTTTATGGCCACTCGAGGCGGTGTTTGCATTGCGGTTAAATGTTTGCATGCGTTTAACTTTGCTCTATCGTGTGTCTCCGCGATCGTAGCTCTCAATCCCTGTTCGGACAACTTGCTTTCCACTCGAGAGCGAGCACTCCGTTCTCGATAGCGCGATAACGCGATAACGCGATTGACAGCAACTCGACACCTTCTGCTCGGCGTCTACCAACTGTGTGTGCATGTACATACGTCTCTTATCTCTCTCATTGTCTCATGAGGTAGCTGTTTGCTCGAACGAACGTCGCGCGTCCTCGCTAGTTTTATCACGACTGTTGACTGACCCCCGAGGGATCGAGCCGAGTCGAGTCCAGTATGTGATGAGAGGTCGTCCGGAAAACGAGTAAACCAAATAGACTCGCTAGAGGCTCCCCAAAGGAGATGACCTTTGTCCCATGACACTGTCGCTAACGTCGATTTTTACCTATCCGATAATTATACCTCAAAGTTAGAAAAAAGCTAGAAAAAAAGAAATAAATAAATAAATAAATAAATAAATAAACGTTATCGTCCTCGAAACGACTCGACACGGCTCGACAGCGTGTTTGGTTCGGCGTTCCGTCCGAGCAGAAAATCACCGGGCGACCTTTCCAACGACGGCGACTAACGCGGGAGAGACGACTAATTTTAGACGGTACCTCGGCCAATGGATTCTCGTTGTCGCCGCGGTAATCGAGTAGTCGAGCAAGCTGTTCACGTTAGACCAACGTCAATAATTATGGATGCCGAGTAATTAATCGAATTTACCCAGAAACGGGAACGTTCGCCAAACGCTAACAGCGAACGTATCGACGCGAGTCCCTCCTTATCGAATTCGAATTTCCCTTTAGTCGAGTATAACCCAACTAACTAACCCAACTAAACCGCGTTCGTCCTTCGTCGAGAAGCTCGGACGCGAATTTAACGAAATTTGCGAATAACGAATAAATTCGCTCGATCAATTTTCTTCCTCCTCTCTCTTCACACTGCTTTTCTTTCTATCTTGTCTTTTCCTTTCTCCAGCTTTCCTGTCGCATCTCTTTAACGCGATCTGTCGCCACGTTTCTTGCTTGCACAGCGCAAAGCGTAAAACATAAGCGTAAACTCTATCGAAATCGTAACGTTGCGTTTTTCTTTGTCGACTGTGCGCTTTTTCACGCTTCTTGATCGCGTTTCCCTGGCCGCCGCGAGATGGCACTGTAGGCACGATGATTGTAGTTACAATAACGGCAAATGATAAAGTCACCGTACTACAAAGGAAATTTTATACTTTATTTTAACGTTTATAGACGAATAGAGAATATAATGGATGACGACTGTTTATTAATTTCTTAACTGTTATATATATTCTTGGCAATTTGTTAGTAACTTGGTAACCAATATTTTGCTGGTATCTGCGTGGTAATTTTTGACAAGACAATTGAATAGCAATAGATGTCGATACATGATCGATAATCTAATCACCGTACTGCAAAGATTAACGAATAACTTTGTACTTTATTACTTTTTTTTTTTAAACTAATACTTAACGAGATATTATAAATAAATTACAACGATTTCAATTACCATCTATTCTCTTTTAACTGATTATTTAACGACGACTGTAGACTGTATGTTAACTCTGTGTGACAACTTTTAACAATTATTATATATATATATCTTCGATAATTTGTGTCGTTTCCTTGACAAAAGACTGATCATTTTACATAATTTCTTGTTTCCGAGTTTCATACAGTTGGCGCCGTAAATTTACCGGATATAAATTTGCAGATGTCGCTGCACCACTGACAGCTGTCGATCGATACATCGCCACCGCGTTATACGCGTGAAAATGAAAACGACGGCCATCTCTTTGCTCCTCTTTGCGTTGTGTTACTCTCTCGTCGAAAGCGTCTCGAACCGTCGACCACTGCTCGACGAAGGTAACCGTGGGAGATGCGTCACGATCGACCGGAGATCGATTTTGACAACTGCCTCGACCAGAGTCTAACGCGCGTCTCCCGCCTTTCCTAACCTATAAATTCTTTTCTTGCTTTCCGAGGAGACTGCTTTCCACGGATTGTAATAATAATAATAATAATAATAATAACAATCTTTCGTCGACACGTTGCAGCCGAGCCACAACGGAATCTCGATCTCGACCGTTTGATCTCGTTGCGCGATGATCGTGGAGAGAGTGAACGACAAAACGCCAACGGCGAGGACGAACCGGAGAGCTGGACAGGCCGATGGATGCCCGACAGACCGAACGATCCTACCCCGCCGCCAAAAGTATTTCCAAAGACGGATCAGACGACTGATTTCGAGTCCTCTGGTTCCTTTCACGGCGGAGTACCGATGGGGTATTCGTCGAAAAGCTGCGACGACGCCAAGGTGACTCACTTTCGATCCCTTTCGATCACGGTTCTCACTTTGTCTTTTCTTCAGACCAATTTGACCGTCGACTGGGATGGCAATCCAATCAGTTACACTTGTTACGACGAAAGAATCACCCCGAACAGAAGCACGATAGCGCTGAAATACTGCGAGCGCATACCGAGACACTACGTCGTAAGTACACGTTCAGTCGCAACGAGCCGACGATGAACAAGCTGAGAGTGATCGGCTGAAAATGCTTGCAGGCAACGCACAAGTGTATGTACGAGAAAATTGAATACGACGACGACGTTCCGCTGTTGTAAGTACGCCTTTCGTTTCGTCAAAAGAAAGAAACCGGTACGATTGTATACGTTGGTACAATTAACGGGGCAACTTTCAGCGGACCGCACAGGCCACTCTGGCCAATCTACGGCGAGTACAAATTTCTACCGAAGCAGAGGTGGCTGCACAGCCTCGAGGTAATCGTAACAACAGCCGTCTCTCTTTCTCTCTCTCTCCTTTTCATTTTCCCCAATTATTCTTACCAGTTCTCCGCCTTGCACGTTTAGCACGGAGCGATCGTCGCGTTGTACCATCCATGCGCCAATCCGATGGAAGTGAAGCGGTTGAAGAACTTGCTCTCTAGCTGTCTACGACGACACGTGATCAGCCCTTACAACCTGTTGGACGAACGCCGCGTAAGCGCTCTCTCTCTCTCTCTCTCTCTCAAGCTTGAGAGGAAAAGGCGACTCGTGTTGTGTTAAACGCGATACGCTGATGTTTCAGCCGTTGGTACTGGTCGCATGGGGATGTCGTTTGAGCATGTCCTACGTGAATGCCGAGCTGGTGGTTGGATTCGTACGCGAGCACGCTCTCCGCGGACCGGAAGAAACGCCGAGGGACGGCGACTTCTCCCAAGCTTTGTTACACCCAGCGGAGATCGTGTCCGATCTCGACGACACGATGCTCTGCCCGAGCGCGCGTACAGTCTTGCGCGACTGACGCCGTCCATCTGTATCATACCTACCTGTACATACCAACGTCTGATCTTCTTCCCCACTTATTTATTATTAGCTACGTTTCCCTTTGCCTTTCCAGTTGCCCTCTCCTTTCCTCGTTGCTTCGCGTTACAACGACGCAGAAACGTGGGAATCAATAAAGACAAAGTCCAAAGGCAACCTCTCGAATTTTCTTTCTTTCTCGAACAAATCAACACGCGACGAAGGGCAAAGGGGACGAATAAATGAGACGCGCAACGTTCACTCCCCTGATATATATATATATATATA